CCAGATATTGTGCGAGCATACTCACGCTACTACTGAGCAATGCCAGACCGAACTTCCCAATGTAGAGTATGTTTTCAGCATAAAGTCAAATGTTTTTGTTGGGGTACCAGTCTGCCTCAACTTGTGTTACTATGTTGATTCGATTCAATGCAATGTTGAAATCGGGGTATGTTGGTTAATTATTGGAGTTTGACCGGTTAACAGCTAACACAGTTAGTGGTATTGTTTAATGCAGCCAGGTGGGCTTGTGAGCTACAACAGTGAATGTGCCTTATATATATATCCAGGGCATTTTCTGTTTGAAGAATAATCTAAAACTGAAACAAAAACAGAAACAGAAAACCAGATTTTCTAATTAGTTTTTTTCCTCTGCTCTGTGTATTCTGCTTAATTATGTTGAGTCTTTCCACCAACAGTAATACTCTGCGAGTGTGTCGTCTCTTTTATTGAGAGTAAAAATGACAAGACGAGGGAAAAAAAATAGATCTCACGTAGTATTTTAAAATAAATAGATATATGAATTAGTGCAGCAACTAACGAGTATTTTGCAAATCGATTAATAATCGTATAGCCAAAGGTTCCTTAAAGATTTTTTACGAATTTAAATCAGGTGAAACTAAAGTCTTTCCATTAGAGTTCTTGATAGAGCATGCTGACAGAAGAAAACTTTTTTTTTAAATCTGAAATGCAAAATATTTATATATATATATATATATATATATAAATATTTTTTTTTACAATTTTGATATAATTACTTCTTTATTTGAGTCGCTCTGTCAGCTAAAGGCATGCTTTACAGTCTCTATACTCCAGTTATCGATTAATTGATTCCTGAATTAGTTGACGATTATTTCAATAATCAATATATCACGGTTTATATCATCAATTGTTTCAGCCCTAATATGAACCCAATAAAGGCAGTACTCAGCTCTTGATTTTGCTGATCATTACCAAGGAGCTAATGTTTTTAGTCGAGTTTGTGTGTGCGTGTTTGTCTGTTCGTATCTATACAGAATAACCTGAAAAGTTAATAATGTATTTGAATGACAATTTTAACAAAGGGGCTCTTCATGCCAGGGAACAATCCACTCAATTTTGGTGACGATCCAGGTCATAACCCAGATATAGGTTTTTTTTTTTTTTTTTTTAAGGGATTCTTTAACATCGTGAAATAGTGAATTATGGAGGAAACCAGCAGTTCCCCTCTAAACCAGAGGATGGCAGCAGTGACTATTGACACCTTCAGCTTTGGGCTTAAAATGTCAGGATCCAGTCATGCGAGTTTTAGCTATAGGTTTAGGTCACAATATAAGGCAAAGTTGTATTATTATTATAACTTTATTATCAGAATAACTAATTTACTTGTTGTATCATGTTATTGAGTTAGATGGAAAGCTTTATTGTGTTGTTGTTTTGGTTAGTTATTACACCTTTAAATCCTATTTAATGATGTCTCTCTCAGCATATCATTTTTGTACATAATGCATGAAATTCAAGGACATATATTTATAAAATGACACAATAAATGACACAGTCATCCTTTTCCTTGTATTCACAACAAATTCATCACACAGACTTTGTCTTTAATTGAGATTTTATTTAAGTTTTCCCTTCACCAATTCCACTTTTTGTTTTTTATTTGAATGTTTTTCCTTATTGCCACGTGTTTTAAAGTTTGCGTTGGACCCAATGCCACTGCAGCAGCCCAATGCATTCATAATTCACCACCACGCAACACATGCATTCATAATTTACTGTGGGAATGTTCTTAACGCATGGCTCAACACGGGTACCCAGATCCACTTTGCTTGAGGCGCATGTATTGGGAAAAAATCCTTAAAAAAAGGTGATAAATTTACTGTCCTCTTTACTCTTGTTGGGTTAGGGGGAGTTTTTAACTAGTGTACTCGTTTTCCTTTTGGCTGACGCAGAAATCGCAATAAAAAAGGTTATTTTAGATGACAGACTGAATCTGGTCAAACTGTCCTCAGGGGATATGTGTTGACAGTAGGGCCACTTTGGCCTGACATTGCTGTCCATAGCAGAGCAGGTGTGGGAACAGGCTCCCTTAAAATGTAGGCCAAGTTAGTCATCAAGGATAGCTCTCCTTAATAGTTCTTCGTCTGAGATAATGATCGGCCAGGAAATAGGAGAGGGTTCATTATTTTAAAGAATGCTTTATTAGGATTTTCATCACCCAGCTTACATTAGGCTTTTCTGTTGCCTTTTTAGTTCATCTCTCAGGAGAAAAAAATCTCCCCCTTTGCAGTATCTCCCGATACTTAACTGATAGTTAAATGAACTGATTAGCTGGTAATTGGGAAGATGAAGCCAATGCTGCTGCAGAGGGCATACAAATTTAATTAATTCTGTCTTGATGCACTAATTAGATCAGTTATTGATTTTTCAAAGGGATTAATAGAGGGGATGGATTTCAGTGGCGTGACTGATGGCAGAGTTGAGGAGAGAAAAAGTTTTTTTTTTCTTACTTGCACCATCCTTTTTGTTATTTCTGGAGTTTTAAGAAAAGGCATTTGCCTCATTATGGATTTCATCTCATCACAATCATGTTTCAGAACATTAGACACATGTTAGTGATACAAAAATGAAGTTTTTGAACGAGTGATTTTATTAAACAAAAAAAAAGCTAATTTGACAAACACCACCAATGAGGAACAGTAGCTGCCTTTTAGATTAATTAAATACTGTAAATGCTTCTGGTAACAAATTATATGATGCATTTTTTTTATTTTTTCTGTGTGAATTTTGGCCAAGTTGCTTTAAATTGTTGAAATTGGATGTTTTTTTTGTTTTTTGTTTTTTACATGAAATGACTGTTTGAGGACACAACAAATTAAATGTATACCCTGAATTTAAACCTTTAAAGAACCTCACCAGTTGCCATACACCGACTTTACAAATCTCTAAGCCAGGAGCTCACTCTGGTTACATTTAAAGGCTTGAACATGAAATGATGATGACTTTTTTTCTCTTTATATCATTACTCTTGTTTTACACCTCTTTGTTCCAGTTGTTAGTAAACATAGGTGTTATTCATTTTCCCCATTACAATATCAGGTGACCGTATCATCTTAAGAATAAGCCTACTTCATGTTGCTAGACAGGTTCTATGTAGATATTACTAGGTTGTAAATGATGCGTGTGGCTATTCAAACTAACCCAAACAGTATGATTTATCACAGTGGGTTCATTCAGGGTTTGGCATATATTTAGAAAGCATATTTTTGTTTTTTTCTCAGGTTATTTGTTTTTCTTTTTACACCAGCTAATTCATGTTTCACATCAATGCATTCTCTGGTGATCGAAAAAAAAAAAAATGAAAATAGCATTTACAGATTGTTCAAAAGTCTTTCTGGGGAATTACTTTAATGCATAAATTACATTACCACACCGCAAGAGGGAAGGCTGGGCAGGTAAGTGAAGTGAAAAGTGGAGCACAGATGGGTGTTTTAAGGAAATGAAGTGAGATGGGGAGGCCTGGGAAGGGGGTGAAAGAGGAGCAGCAAATGTGTTGGGTTATAATGGGAGGATGTCGCCTTTATCTTCTCCTTAAGAAGAGAATAAGAAGTGGAATCTGTGAAAGAGACCGAGGCCAGTGTCGCAGCGGGAGAAAAATCGAATTGATGGGCTGCTTGGTGCAAAAAAGCTGCAGGATAAACTACAAAAGCATTCATTTATTTATTTTTGTATGACAGCTGTGTGTGTCGTTGTCTACTGGTTGTTGCAAAAGGAAACCCCACGACAGCCAGCTCATGACACTGTTAGCTTGTTGTGAAAATCTTTAAACTCTGCTGTTTTCTATTCTGTTTTGGTGCCGCTTTGCGTTTAAACAATACTGTAACTTGTGTGTGTTGAATAACTTCTTCTCGTTTCACGATATTAACTGGTAAATTTAGCCATATAATTAATTTCAAAGAACTGTAAAGCTTTATAATTATTTCAGTTGTTAGGGAAAGAAAAAAATAGTTTCATAACTTTTTTGGGGCCTATAAATAATTTTCTTGGTCTATTCTTTGCAAAAACAACTGCATGAATCCACCATAAAAATCCTTCCAAGACAAACAAGGTGCTCCATTCACATCTACTTAAAACCAGGAGTAAACCAAACTATTTGAAGGGCTGCAAACAGCCCCCAGACCACACTTTGGACAGCAGTCCTCTATATAGTGTTGTCATTGTTTATTTATTTGGCAGATTAAAGGCAAAATTTTTAGAGACAAATATTCAATTCAATTCAGTTTATTTATTTAGCGCCAATTCACACTACATTTCATCTCAAGGCACTTTAAAGTTCACCAGATCATACAGTCAAATTGATTCAAAGTTTTCTATCTAAGGAAAACCAGTTGACAGTGGAGAGGAAAAACTCCCTTTAAACAGGAAGAAACCTCCAGCAGAGCCAGGCTCAGTGTGAGCGGCCATCTGCTGAGGCCGACTGGGGTTGGACAGAAGCAGAGATACAAAAAGCAGCTGTGAAAGGCGGCCCCATCCAGGAAAGGCACAGCAAGGCAGACGAGCTCTGAGCCAGCTCCTATGTCAGAGGATGAAGAGAGCACATCAAGCCAGTCACAGTCAGAGAAACAGGACTACACTGGAAATACAAGCCGATCTCCAACATTTATAAACAAAGGTGTTGATGGCATCAGCACATCTGATTGTAATATAAAAATTTGCACAACTTCTAAACTTCGTATGAATATTTTGGGAAATGATTTTGACTTTTCATTTTACTATTACATGTATTTGGATTTTCATTTAATTATTTTGAGGCCTAATCAACATAAGTTCAAGGAAGTTTCGTTGTCATGGCAATGTCAAGCAAGCTAGTGGAAGAAGACTAGTAAATTTACATAGTCTAATGACCGAAACAAGGAGGAAATATGACACAGAAACGCATTTCTCCACGACCTCAGAACGCACCTCAACATTTGGACACCTGTAACCAGGCAGGGTACCCTGCCTGTAGCTCAAAGTAAGAGCATGGTGCCGCCACGTACTTTCATATCTATTCTTAAATTTTAAGGTAAGATTTTTTGTGTAATGGATATAGAGAACTGTTCACTAACGTTTAAATAGTATTATAATGTAGTTATTTCCTTGTGGTTTGCGGAAAAGGATTTTGGAGCCAATAAAGTCACGTGTGACATAAACACAATGACTCTGGTTCATGCCAGCTGACCAAATCTATGTTGTTATAGTGTTATCGTGAAGTTTAAGTAATAGCTGAGATATATTCATCTGAGAACTGATGTCTGTGTGTTACAGATCCTGGTTGCGTGCACTGAAATGTATATGGCAAAAAATCTTAATCTATTTATTTATTTTATTGGGTTTTAAATAGGCCTTTAGGCTCATAGGTCTTTTGTCAAAAAAAAAACAACAAAAAAACTTTCACAGCACCCCCTGTTCAAAAGTACTTCCAACTGGACCTGGTAAAGAGGATTTCAGATGGTGAATTTATGAAGAAGCTGAAACCTACCGTATATTATTTCAACAACAACGCAGCAGAAATCAGACTTCATAAAGAAGACCTTGTTGTTCGGGTGGAATGAATGTATTCTTTTACGGTAGTTTGATAGGCCAGAGTAGAAAAAATAACGACTTTTAATATTTATCTTGTTATATTGCTATTACAGAATTTATAAATTGATTTTGTTGTATGCATGTTTCTTTTTCTCCTTATCATGCAGCCTTAATGCTCCAGTTGCTTTTGAATCCAAAGGAGTATGAATGTGAATGTCTGGATTTTTTAAAGGATGATGCTGTAGTTAGTGAAGTGTTTATGCTGTACACAAAAATATGAATCTCAGCTTTTAAATCTAATGCATTTCATTAAAATAGCCTTCATCAAATGCAAACAGTATCCTGACAGCCTAAATGAAGCACGCTGCTTGAGGAAAAATAAAGAAAACATGCTTGACTCATTATTTCTTGTGGTTTCCTGGCAACCAGTGACAAATTTGGCATCATTTAGTTTTTATTTATCTGTTCATCCTCGTCCCTCTGCTCCAAATTAGAGTGTATGCTGCTTGTAAAAAATGTTACTTTGAGCACAACTGGGACTATGGCAGCTCTTAAACAGCCTCATATATTGCACCATTTTTCTGTTGCTATTTCTGTTTGTTGATATTTTTTTTGTAAAATTCATGTCTGTACTGAAGGTTTTAGTCACGACATGGAAAGTTCTCAGCCTGTGCAAACATGCTAGGAAGTAAAAGAGCTTTCCTCTTCTGATTCTTCTTTTAACATCAAAGAAAGGAGTCAGGGACTGATGGATTGGTATCTTCTGCTTCTGTTTACAGAAATGCATCTATTGTCGCAGCCGTTGCGCTGGGAAGCGGCAGGCAGGGGCTTGCATCCAGTGCTCATGTGGCCGCTGTCCCACCTCCTTTCACGTGACCTGCGCCCATGCTGCCGGGGTAACCATGGAGCCGGACGATTGGCCATATGTGGTGTCAGTCACCTGCCATAGACACCAGTCACGGAGTTCGTCTGCTGTAAGTTAAAGGATAGAGGTTTACTACAGCCGGCGAGACTCGGGCTGTGTTCAGGTTTTAGTCCTCATATTAGAGTCGACTTTTAGTTCCTAAAAGTCGACTCTAATATGAATCATTCAGTAAAAAAGTGTCCGTGTTTAAACCACAATGTTGGATAAAGAAATGCTCTTTTCTTCTTGCTGCGTGGACAGATGATTTTACAGTGTTTTTTTTTTTTTTTTTTTTATCTTGTTTTTAGGAGCCTCCTTTTTTCAGTGCATTTATTTAGTGTTGGTTTGACTCTTACAGTTAAAATAATCTTTAATAAAATGCATAATGACATAAGGACATTTCTGAGGTCTGATCAGATCAGATTGAGCCTGAGAAGAACGTCAACACATCGAGTACAACCCATTGTTGTATTAATTTTGAACACAATCCAAGTCAAGTAAAAAGGACCTTTTGGTAATCTTGAAATTTATTTTTCGCCGGCATTATGCTCTTTAACACCCATCGTTAATACGGATTTTATGTTGTTACTTCCTTTTTTTTTTATATATATTTGAGCTCATTTAATTTCAAACCTTTAAATATAATGTAAAGGAAGTCAATCTATGGGTGATTTAATCTATTATTTCAGTGGTCTTAGAGGTTTGTTGTTGAATACAAGAGAACAATATTTATTTCTTAATATTTATGTCATGAAGCACCGTTTGATCCGTCAACCAAAAATGGCTGTTCACATAAACTAACTAGCAGTTCCAGAGGGCTAATTCTATCACATCCATCTCTACAATTCAGCACAGATTAAGCTTGTGTTTTTTGTTTTTTCTTTTGTTCTGGCTCTCAAAATTGTTTCACAATTAAATTGACAAAAATCTGGCTAGTCTTGAAACAGAGACCAGAGCACCGTATCATGTATTGGATTTCATTTAATTCTGATATTAGGAGGATTATTTGTCAAATTAGTAACATGGTTAATCTGGAGGGACTGTAAGAGCCAAAATTAAGGTGGACACAATCTGTCAATAGGTTTTTTAATTATACATTTTTATTTAATTACTATTTATTTACTAATAACAGGCTATTTAATCAGTTATTTATTGTGAGTACCTGACAAACATCAGAAGTTCATTTTACAAAGTATTTAGTAAGGGAGGCTAAACACAAATGCATGTAGAGCTGCAACTAACCATTATTTAGAATCGATTAATCTGTCGATTATTTTTTTCGATTCATCAATTATTAAACGGACAACAAAAGGTGCCTTAAAGAAGACATTAAGCAAAATTAAACCAGGTGAAACTAAAACTTTTCAATTTAAGGAGTTTGGGATAGAGCATATTGACAGACGAAATTTTTTTTTAAATCTTAAATGCAAGATGTTTACATGTTTTTTTTTCAACAGTTTTGGTATATTAACAGCTCTTAAGTGGGTCTAAGTGGGTGATTCTCATTTTGTTTATAAAACAATTTTAGCTATAACATGATGGAATGGGATAAAGGATAATTTTTTATTGTAGAAAAAAACTCACAGCTTCATTCTTTCTTTCCAAAAATATTGTTGTGATTGCTTTGTGTTAATCAGATGAAATGTTCCACCTTTAACCTTTACAGCCACACTCCCCCAACCAAACCCTCCTAAATCTTGATAAGCCCGTTTGCTCAGAATGTCCCCCTAATTCTCTCTTAGCAATGCTAAATGTTTTGCATGTTTTCTCCTTCTTTTTGAATGTTGGAGTTCAAACAGTCTTGAAATTACTATGAAAAGAAGAGTCAGGGACACAATGCAAGCGAATATCTACTGTCGCCAGATGCTCATCCAGAAGGATCGAATCCTTGAGAGTCAACGACTCGATGCAATCAGCTGGGTTTCCTTTGATAGGAAAACTTTTCACCAGTCTCACATTTTGACCCCATTGCATTCTCTGTAAAGTGCCTGTGTGTGTTGTGAGTCGGCGCTATATAAATAAACCGAAGGAAGTGAAACACTTCTCAGGTTCTCAGGCAGCCGACATTTTTTCTAATTTATTCTTAATGTCTTGTTTAGAGTGGAAGAACTTGAATATTCTGCATGATTTGAAAACCCAGTTTTTACCCCAAAATGTTACTATATATGAAAAAATTTAAAAGCCTTCAAGGCAGCATAGATTACTACTATTTCTGTGTTGACAGCAGTGTAAAGTAACAACACTACTGACAAAATAAAATGTTTATCTAAGATTGGTGGTTTGGGATAAAGTATTATGACTCCATTTTATGAGATGACACCTTTCTGTCTCTTTTCCTAGAATCAGAGATTGTGCCAACCTGTGATCTCACTGGGACAGACCGTGATCTCCAAACACAAGAACCTGCGTTACTACAGCTCCAAAGTAACAGAGATCACCTCGCAGACTTTCTACGAGGTCATGTTTGACGACGGCTCCTTCTCTAATGATACCTACCCCGAGGATATCGTGGTGAGGGGTTCTTTGATCACTTGCTTGACTAATTGCCTTACAGCTCATGGTTTTTTAAACCCTGTAGAACAAATTTAATTAAATGTTGAAAGATGTTCTTTTGTCAGAAACCATTTTGCAAATTGTTTGCAGGGTAAATTAGTTATAACACAACTTACAATATGTGAGACCCGTTTTACAAAGCAGGTTTACTGAAAACTCTTACATTTTCTAAACGTTGAATCAGGGAAACTCTGATTTCACTTCACAAAGAAATTTTTCTCATACTGAAAAAACAACCTAGAAATAAGTAAAAAAGGGCTTAATTAAGTGTATTTTCCCTTAGTTTGAGTCGGAAAATAAGATGATATGCCAACAAAAATAGGATTTTTACTCTTAAAACAAGATCATTAGATAATATGCACTTTATTTAAGATAATGAAATAGTTTTTTTCTTATTTTAAATGTAAATTGTCTTGTTCCGTTGGCAAATTGTCTCACCTCTTCAAGAAAAAATGCACTTATGTTAAGAAAAAAAGGACTTATTTAGATTTATATACTTTGAAGTGCAACCCCTGTTGTTGTTACCGTAGTAACATTCTCCATAAAGCTAACCTGGTCAGGAGCAGGTTCTCCTCAATAAACTCAATGTCCTCTGTCTCTGCATCCCTAAAGCCAATCCCCTTGTTTTATTACCCGATTTAGTCAGGAGATTTCTGTTGTAGTTTTGTGTAAACAATTAAAAGAAAATAAGTCAGTAGGTCCATTAGAGACATTAGGTGTTAAAAACACAAAGTGTTTTTGACAAGGATCCAATAAAGAATGAGCAACATTAATTCACAGAGAATTAAACATTTATAGGATCATCAGACTGTATATATGTCCTTTCACATTTATAAAGTTATATTTATGAGCGCTGCTGTCTTACGTCACAATCACTTACATCCACAACCTTATCCGTCCTCACATTTGCAGCATTACATATTAGACACATTACGCTTCTTTAAAAAAATATCTAACAGAACTAGATATTGGTGGAAGACGTAGATGTTTTTGATAACAGAATTATAGAAAACAACTTCACTTTGAAACAGCCACTTAGTGTTTACTGTGTAATGGAATACAGAATCAAAATGAGGAGGAACCCATGAAATGATGCACAGGTCCTACCTGTTAGAAGAACACTTTAATGCTTCATCTTCACCTGCTGCCAGGTGCAGTTCTGTCCCGTGAGACTGGAACGTAATATAATAAGCTGGTCCATTACCATTCAAGCAATAAATTAGTTTTCCCTGTAATGTAATCGTGGTAACAGCTGGGTATGGAAGGCTGTTTATATGTTTATAAGGTTGTCTTAATATGTACTTTTGATATCTGAAAAACATTTTTTCCTTATCAAAATGAACTTTTCACTCAAAACGACATCCTTAATTTCTAAAAGAAATTCTAAAGATGTCTAGAAATGAATTTCAGATTTCCATATTTCCACTGGTCATTATTAGTATTATTTTCAACAGAATTTTTTTTTTTCAGATATCATAAATGCATATTCAGTTAAGCTGATAAATGTCAAAATGGCCACTTAATATGTGTCAATATTTCTAAGTATTTAATTGTAATTCTCACTAGTACAAATCTTTTTTTATACTTTCTGAAAGTGTAATCTGTTATTACAATTCTTTCTAGAACTGTAATAACAGATCACATTTCTAGAAATGTGATTCTGACCAGGAATAATTCCATTTAAGTGATCTAGAAATGGAAAAACAGAGAGGAGTGCTTTTTAATAAATGTTAAAACAGCCTGCCATATAAACTGCCTTTATATAAACTTACACATTAACTCGAGGAGCAGTCTTCTCCTACTTATCTCGCTTTACTTTGTCTTTTAAACACATTCTTTTTTCCATTTCTGCTTTAACATCTCCATTTCCAATGGTACTTCCTATTGTCTGTTGTCATGGTGACTCTGAGCTTCAATGATCATGGCTTGTCATACTTTGCAAGTGCACAACTCTGAGTGGACCTCCTTAGACTTAGACTTACACAACTTTTAGTATCATTTTATATACACAGTGTGTATACAAAACGATATTTCGTTTAGCTTTTCAGGCAATTAATGAACATTTCCATTTCATAAAGTGCAGCAGTGATCAAATGTAAACAGTGTGGGAAGAAAAACAAGGTGCAAGAATGCATTGATATGGAAGTTCAGTGCATTAATATATATGGTGCAAATATGCATCAAATATGCAGCATCAGTGTGATGCAGAGTCTGTGACACTAGATCAATTCAGAGTTCAAGATTTGGATCTTATTTTGTAAAAGTTTTTAGTGAAATGGGCCTCTGATGAGAGTCATCTGGATCAAGAATGTTTTTTTCTATATAACTAATTGTTACTGGATAAGAACAGTGTTTTTCATATTTAATAACATATTTTTTAAATATCTTCACACCTTAAGTTTTTATTTTTAATCATTAAACTTTAATATTTTGTCTTGGATGAGTTAAAAATATTCTGTTTATATGTGTGTGGTTCAGAAAAAAAAAGTAAAAAGCTCCTTCTTTTAAAGCTTGTCAGAGGGCCTGTGGCCAAAAAAACGGTTTGGTTCTGAGGCTTCTCATAAGTTCACTGAGAGAAAAATAAACATAATAAGTACATTCAAAACTTGCCAAAGTTCCCCTTGCAGCATTTCACAAGCATAAACACAATCCACAAAAAAAAGAGACATGGAAAAAAGTGTTTTAAAGTTACAATAATGCAGATCTTTTCAGTTCTCTGACAACTCCTTCCACCTTTTATTTTGTTGCATTTTACAGTGAAAGGTTCAGAAAAATCCCTGTTTTCCAATTTTAATGTACTTGCAGAAACAGTGTGTATAAATATAGAGGGTCCTATACACATATATAGTGTATACATTCTTTATAAATATATATATAGATCATCGCACATAGTTAGGAAGGTATCCGCACCTTATTTTTCTTGCTGTCTGACACCAAACTTTCCTTTTTAAGTCTGTTATTTAAAGGACAGAATACTCAGACCACTTTTTGGGGAGACTTTTTTTGTTTGAATTCAGAGGTCTACCAGCAACCATTCAGACATCCACTCAGAGCATAGGGGGGGATTGGAAATAGCTATTTAGATTGATTTGTGTATTTATGTAGAGTGGGAAGGAGTACCCAGGGAAAACCCACACATGCACATGGAAAAGTTTAAACACAAAAAAACCTCGGAGCGTCTTGCTGCAAAGCAACAGAACAACACTAGACAGCTGTTTCAGCTCTGGTAAAACTTCTTGATCAGAAATATGAAATACTTCCTCGATTTCTTAAATGGGGGCCACAGCATCTCATGAAAGGTTCCTGTACAGCCTTTAAAATGAAAGTGTTTTCTCAAAACAACTTAGTTTGACATTTTCAGGGTTTATTGTCTCTTGATCAACACAATAGTTATATTCATGCATTATCTCTATATTTAACTTGTGCCATTCATTGGATGTTCATTTATTTTTACCTCATTAGATGCGTTAATATCAATAATTATCAGTCTCCATTATTTCCTGATTATTTCAAAGAACTTCTTAACTTCCTCATATTTAAGCCCAAAATGAGAGAAAAGTTGCAAACTCTTTGCAACACATTGCTGTCTGAGAGTTTGACTGCTCAGATAGTTGATTACGAAAATAATAAAACATATTTTAACTCTGGTGTTTAGCCTGTGTATCTAACGACTCCCTCTTGTGTTTTCAGAGTAGAGATTGTGTGAACCTTGGTCCTCCTGAAGTCGGGGAAGCTGTTCAAGTAAAATGGCCTGATGGGCTTTTTTATGGTGCTAAATACCTGGGATCCAACGTTTCCTACATGTACCAGGTAGGTTTGCACACAAGCTGCACCAAACCTTAGTCTGCTCCCGATTCTCAAAGATTGTTTAAAAAGAAAGAGTTGTAGGTCAGAGGAACCGGCTGGACTTGTTGAACTCCCTCAACATCCAGTCATGGTGAGACTCCCGGGGCCCCCCCATCTTTCTCTGAGAGGTGGAGCGAGAAAAGGAGAGGGATCTCTTGGGAAGCAGATGTCGTGGCTGAGGAGAAGATAAGAGATGATGGGGTGGGAGGAAAAAAGAAAGGATGTGTAGGAAGCAGAGGGTAGTCGGAGAGACGGTGATAGAAAATAGGTCGAGGGATGGGATGGAGAGAGTGAGAAGCAGAGGATGATGAAAAGGAGGTGCCAATCTGCATTATTCAAACTCACTGAATAATTCACTTTGCTCAGGGTCTCTGGGCTTCCACTTAAAGCTTTATTTAGTCGTGCTGGGCGTTAAGCATTAGTTATGCACAAATGCTTCTGTGACGCACTCTCTCAGCTGGACATGGGTCAGATTTTTATTTTTTTCTAAGCTTGAACAAGAATTTTCCATTTACAATCTGGTTTTAAATTTGGCACAGTTTCAGACGCGGCCTCAGCTTCCAAAGGTACATTTTCTTTTAAACACAAAACATGATTTTTAAAACTGAGTCAGCAAGGATTAGAAAAGATTAAAGTTTCTATCTGTGCCACGCTGTTGTCTGTCTGCTTTGCTGAGGCGAAGCGAGGAACAGATTTCAGTTCTGTAGACGAAGTTTTGATTGGTACATGTAGAGCCCTACATGATCAAGGGGCCTCGTCTGGCTGTGACTCCATCCTGGAGAGAAAGATCAGCTGTGCTGCTGCCATCAACACCTTTGTTTATAGATGCTGGAGATCGGCCTGTTTTCCAGTGTAGTCCTGTTTCTCTGACAGTGACTGGCTGGATGTGCCCTCTTCATCCTCTTATATTGGAGCTGGCTCGGAGCTTGTCTGCCTGGCTGTGTGTTTCCTGGACAGGGCTGCCTTTTACAGCTGCTTTTTGTGTCTCTGCTTCTGTGTCCTTGAACCCCAGTCGGCCTCAGCAGATGGCCGCTCAC